TAGAATAAATTTATTGTTTACTTAATCAATACAACGTATATATGAGTCAATGGTTACGCTATACATGTATTACTTAAATATTTGATTAATTATATTGTTTAATATATAATTAGGCGATCCGTTAGGTATTCACGACCAGTCGGATACTGAAGGCGCCGATAATGAGGACAAATGTTCAAACAAGACATCGAAGATATTTCGAGGAATAGTCCTTATGCTTATGATAGCCCTCTCATGGGTCGGCACACTATGTCTTATGAAAATTAGCTTCAAAAGTGAAAAGACTTTGATTGCCTTCCCTACCAATCAATATAATAATAATTATACTCAGCATTTGGATAGCAGTGATAGCAATACAGAAACTCAACAATTATCTCCGCAGGTTTGCACTTATTATTCATTTATTATGATTAAAATAATTGTAAATGTAATGAAAATAATGGGAATTGTGTTATTTGGACAAAAGTCGTATACTCTTGAGGAGGATTATGAGGTGGTGTTTGACGCGCCATTCCTGGCCACCTGGTACTGCTCCCTCTGGAACATCTTATTTCTGCCCATTTATACAATCAGTCATTTGTGTTGCTGTAATAAAGAGCACGAGTCAACCAAAAAGATGTTAATGTAAGTGAAAATTTGCATATAATTAAAGGCATCAGTAAAATGTACCATTAATTCTGTTTTTCAATATTTGAATAGTGAAAGTATTCAGGGGTTTATGGAAAAGGGTTACACATTAGTGCAGTTCTTCACTCGTTGTGGTTTCTTTTGCGTCCTTTGGATGATAACAAACTATATGCTTATATTTTCGTTGAGAATATTGGACATAACGGTCGTAATGGCACTGTTCTCCACGTCCGTCTCAATTGTATATTTGCTTTCATGGGTTGTTTTGCATCAGAAGTTTGTTGGCATTAGAGTTAGTTATCTCTATATCATTCACTCTATATCTTAATTTGATTATAACTTTTGATCACATAATTCTATGGTTTTGTTTGCATTTATTGATTACATTTGTATTCAATAGATCGTTGCTGTGATAATATGTGACACAGGAATCGCTTTATTAGTATATATGGATGGCGTTCAACAGCACAGAACATTGGCTGCTGTTATGATAGGGTTTGGTTCAGCCATCGGATCCGCTATATTTAGAGTAATATATTAATCTAATTTACAAATGATGTAACAAATAATGAAATGTTATATAAATATTGCTATTGTATTGTATTGAACGCCAATTAGGTATTCTTTAAACGAATGATTGGTTACACGAGTTTTGCACAAATGTCTCTATTCTTTACATTAATCGGTTTAATGAACGCATTCCTTATGTGGCCTTTAATACTGTTATTGTATTTATTCGGAGCCGAAATAATAGTGTGGTCTCAGATCCCATGGGAGACACTCACCTGTTCAGCAATACTCAGTCTTATGGCTAATATTTTAGGCAATTTTGGTATTGTCTGGACGTATGAATTGTTTCTAACTTTGGGAATATTCTCTGCGATTCCCTTTTGTAGCCGTAAATATCACTTCAATTATTATATTAAAATATATTCCAATATTAATTGAATTTCTTGTGCTAACCAGTGATCGACACATTGGTGTATAAGTCTATATTCAGAGACATGAAATTAGCGGGAATATTGTTGATATTGTTTGGATTTATGGTTGTATTACTGCCGGACAACTGGAATGAATATTTGGGAGACGTATTGAGGAAACGGTTAGCAAATTGGAAACGAAGGGAACAATTGAAGAAGAATGGAAGAGTTCAGGACACCAGCACTGGACAGGTGTCACGATTGCGGACAAACAGTGGTCGAGTCAAATAATAGACAACAATCCATTATATATTAAATGTTATAAAAATAGATATATTTTTAATACGATATAAACATTTCCAGAAAAGCGAACAAATATTTCAACAACAGAACAGTTTCAATGAATTTTAATTTATTTTGTTTAGGAATTTTAATTTATAATTTATAAAAGTTGTCGAAATATTGAAAGACTTGTAAAGTGAGTAATTTATGTCCATAAGTATTATTGTCTGGAATTTTTGGCTATTATTTGACTCGAAAATTGTATGTATAAAATATCTTATATTTGTAAATATTATATTATATTGAATTCAATGCCAATATAAGAAAGTTGCCATCAAATCAGAGTCACATCAATGGGATATTATATTTAACTAACAATTAAATCAAACCATTTACTAGAGCTATGTTTCCACTC